GTGGAGGGTATTCAGCTATGAAAAATATACAGAATATGCAATAATTAAAACACAGGATACTATTTGTCACACATGGACCTGCAGCCTACATGTTATGAACATTAGGCCTACTACTCGTACAATTTTAATTATTCTTGCAAAGTTCGGCATGGAACATTATTAAGTTATTGATCACGCTTTAGAAGTTATATACTATCACTAGAATTGTAAAAAAAATAATAAGTTAAGTGCTGTGTTTGCTTCTGGTAGGAATTATAGCGATTACACATTAATTTTAGTTAACCTTCAGTATATTCATGCAGACAGACCATGCACGTATACTTCCATGGAGAGATCTACCCTGGTAATAAATAAATAACAGAGTACTAACATTAAGTTTGAGTGGATAGGGGCACAAGTTAATTTCAAAATTATTTTTATGATTTTTTGTCATTTTCAAGAGACAATACATCTTTAAACCTTGTTTATTTTGATGCCCAGAAAAAAATGTGAATTAATGATGATCATAATGAGGGGATGATGATAACAATGACGGTTATGATGAAGGTGATAATAATGATGACGATGATGATGTCGATGGCAATGGCGTCGACGATGATGATGATGAACGGTAATGATGTTCATGTAGGTGTTGGCATGCTTGAGAGTGATGGAGAAACTAATGCAGACTAAAGTGAAGTGAGTTCAATCTGGAATCAAACCGAAAAATGCCCCATACATTGTTCTGTAGATGTGTATAAGAGACAGGTGCAGCAGGAATAAAAGCCCTGGAAAAATCAGCAGTTTTGATTTGGTAGAGTCTAATTTAGGTCGCTATTTTTTAGTCTTATAATAGGCCATCGTACCATGATTGCGTACATTCATATAATTCATAATTATCATTATATATTTATTTATATTATATTTATTTATTTCAGAAAGTAATGGAATTGAGAAAAAGTGGTCCGGCCATAGCCGGTCCTGTGGTTATCCGTCTTTGAAAGTGTGGCCTATTGTAAGTAATGGACTAATCGGATTAGGTCATTAGGTACAGACCAATCAGAAGCAAATGCTCATTTTTTGAAGTACTGTATTAGTTGCTGTATGTTGGCTTCATACACAGTTGGATGTGTGGGGGCTAAGTTTGAATTATTAGCGGTAATTTTTAATCGCCTAGGCCTAGACTTAACTTTGCAAAATGGCCACGTCCTGTGTTGAAATGCTGTAATAGGTCTATATTATATTAAATATAATGTTAAAACTGTCTCTTATGTTAAAATGTGGTTGCATGAACCAAGCACAAAAATAAAACAGCTATTTATTAATATTGTGTTTAATAATTCATCTTATATCATAGGCCTACATACTGCCAGTGGTATAATATCCACATCATTGTCGTGTCATCAGTAATCATTTTCTATTTTTGTTTTTAAAGTTAATAATGTAAATTTTTATATTTTCTTTTAATAAAGAGAAAATTTAACTACAGAAATATCTTATGATAATATTAACATTATTTAACGCTACGGTTAGTGTAATTAATAATAAAAATATAAAAATTGATATGGGTCTAATTTAGTTGTGTGCATAGGTCTAACTATAAATAATATGGTATTTCTTTCAGGTTTTCAATCCATTGAAAGGAAGTCATGTTTGTTGCAATATATTGTTTGTGGTAGACACCGGGAAAAAACCAACTATTGAATGTGTATTTATTTGTCTCCTGGTACAAAATTGATGGAAGAGCAGCCATGATGAAGCAGTAAAAAGTATATAAAAATTTTTATTTTACAAGAATATATACTGCACATTTGCTAATACCACTATCCCACATCAGTAAGTGACTACCCTACTATGTCACAGTAATAACCATTTGTTTCTTAATTAAGTCTTGGGTACCTAAGAAGTCACAGCATTTGCCTTAATCGTCGTTGTACGAAGGTGATTAATAAGTTAAAATTAATTGGGGACAGTCTAATCGTAAATATTATCTTAACATGCTAAATATTCTCCAACGATAAATGGCACCTAACTTCGTAGTATGATGCTGTCAGAGAAAAATGTATTTAAATCTTTAAAAAAAAAACAACATTCTATTATTGAAAGATGTGCTTTAAAGTTTGTTTTCAAACTTATTTTGTTCTCCATCCATTCATGTTTGGTGTTGTTCCTAATTATTTAGCAAAAAGTTAAATTGTTTTAGCTTAAGTCCATTATTAACCCAGGCAATTACCATACTCTACTACACAACATTTAATTTAATATTTTGCATATCAAAAGTAATAAAACTGAATGAATATGTGTTTTAAGGTAAGTGCCACTCCCTATAGAGAAATCTCTAACTGTCCATGTTTGCAATATTATATTCCATAGTGAATATTTTTCAGTATTTGCATCATGGTAATGCTTGCAGTACAGTATATCAATGTAGATTGGTCTGGGAAGAACAGTTGTTTCAACTATCTACATAGTATTCAAGTATTTACTATTTTAAAATTTAACATACAAACTTTAAAACAATATTTCAGTCTTCTTTGTTTCAAATATTTTTGTTTTGTTATTATCTTTCACAAAGGTTCTTGGATACCTTGCTTCAATACCTCTGGTTGGACAAGAAAAGACCTGGCTAAGGATAGTAGAGGGTCAAATAATTTATCACCAAGAAAGTTACTGATTTAAACCGAATCCTGTAACGCGAAAGATTCTTAATTATGCTAAGTGTGCAATATTAGGTCAGTTAAGTTATACCTCCATGGTTAAGACGACAGTAATGCATGATAGGTATATTTTGAAATCTACACATAGTAGCTGTTTTTATAATTATTAAACATGCCTGTATAGCTAAAATACATAATATTTAATGTTTTTTGCAAGTTTCAATTAAAGAAAAATGGTCAAGTATATTTTAAACTCAGTGTATTTTGTAAGTTTAAAGGAATAAACATTGACATTGACTCAACATTAAAAATTTCCATTGAATTAACATTGAACATATTACATTGAATCGACGTTGAAATTTACGTTGATGAAAACTTTCATTCACAACCAAAATTCAAAGTTGATTCAACATTGATCATTTGATGTTATAACGTTAAATAATTGATGTTGAAACAACTTTAGACAATTTACGTTGAAATTTACGTTGATGAAAACTTTCATATACAACCAAAATTCAACGTTGATTCAACATTGATCATTTGATGTTATAACGTTAAATAATTGATGTTGAAACAACTTTAGACAATTTACGTTGAAATTTACGTTGATGAAAACTTTCATATACAACCAAAATTCAACGTTGATTCAACGTTGGTTATTTGACGTTGTTCCAAAGTTAAAAAATTAGCGTTGAAAAAACCTTAGACATTTTACGTTGAATCAACGTTGAGATTTACGTTGATGCAAACTTTCATATACAACAAAAATTAAACGTAGATTCAATGTTTGCATATTACGTTGAATCAACATTATTTCAACCAAGTTGTGCCCACTGGGTTAGTTTTTATGTTTTATTTAATTTAAATAATTTATTTTATTAATTTTTTTCCCCATCATTTTTTTTGCTCTCTAGTTCATTGTTTTTCCTCTTATTTTTTATATTATGAATTTATTATATTTTGTAAACTTTCATGTCACAATAATATTATGGGCGACCTTTGAATTGTATCTGTACACGTATATGTTAATTATGTGGAGATTTCAAAACCATACCAAAAAATAAACATACATAGAACCAAAATATATATTTTCATGGACTATTTTATTAGAAATAATTCTGAAATGAAATGAATCTAAACTACTGTACAATCAGTGATCGAATAACAGTAGTCACTGTAACACAATCTAGGCTTGATGTGTCATACGCTTTCAATATTTTGATGCAAGTCCACCACAAAATCATCCCATTTTAAACAGAACACTGTGCAAACATAGGTGACACTTTGTTATCAATTCTTAACCACTGTTATCTGAACAACGAATGAGTTTCATTTGACACTCCTGCATATTCATAAGCTTATGAATATTGATGACCTGAATTTAAACTTTGCGGTGGGATAAGGGGTAAAGACATTTTATAAATGTCAAAAAATCGAGCACAGGCAAGAAACTATAATAATATAATTATCAATACAGTATTTAATGATTTTTAAACACTTTTAAATGATTCTATGATGGTAGGACTATCAAAAACAGATTAATTTTTTAGCCATAATATGTTTTTAAAGAGTGTATCCACAGAAAAATGACATCAGTTTAACAACTTTAGGTTGTTCAAAAAGTAGACAATAGTTTTATATTTCAAATCTTTATTTGGTCATCTCCAAGAATGAAGACGACCATATAAGGAACTGCAAGTATTGAATACTAACACGATGGTGTGTTCATCTAGTCTGTACACTATATTAAATGGATATTCAGTGAAACTTGACCACTAATTAAAAAATTCATGATGTCCAAAGACAAATTGACAAAAGAAAATATAAACAATGTAGCCACTCTGACTTAACTAAGTGGTAGGTGCCTAACTGTCGTTTTTCGGTGAGCTTGCATATGTGCGCATACACTACTCACGCAATGTATTTATATATATATTTTTTTAGTAGGACTTAAAAATTATGATCAAATAAATAAATTGTGACAGCAGTTATATACTTTAACCTATTCTGAATCTAACACAGCTGTATTGTTAAGAATATTGTTAAATTCAACACTATAATATGGTTACAAAAATAATAAAAATAATATCAACAGTAAATAATAATAATAATAATAATAATATAATAATAATAATAATAAAGCAGTAATAATTTATTAGGTGTATACAGTGCATTATGCTGGTAACAAAGCACTATGAAATGGTAATGATTCATATCAACAATATTCATTTAACAACACTATCAACAATAATCATTTATTAATAAATCAACAATATTAATCAATATAAAATAAATACAGAAATCACTCATTTCTTAAAAATAACAAACTATAAAGATAAGTGATCAAAAATATACAATGGTGAATTATTACCAACTTGTTAGTAGAGTATCCATTGTGCCATTATGTGTGATGTTGCATTTGCAATGTATCTACAGCCATTTTTGCGTTTAATTTTAGTCAAACTAATTACCTGGTCACTTTGACATAGAGAGTCCAGTGTGAATGACCACATAACATTCTTCTTGGTCAAAGTATCCAAAATGTGCGGCAAGTTCAACTTAGTGAACTTTATCCAGGAAAAATAACCAGACTTTTTTTCCTAATCTCTGTACTTTTCAAAAGATTGTATCTACAATCGTACTGACCAGGCATGCTCAAAATCTTACTATCTTTAAACCTACTGCATATAAAAATCAAAGAGCGAACTGTGGTGTCTTTTGACCAAGTTGAACTTACAGTTCATCATGGTCAAGATTAATCCAACGGAAACTTAATACAAGGTCGAGGTAGTGCTGAGGGTAAGAAGAGGGCAGTAGTGATCAGGCCTTGCCGGTCCAAAAGTTGTAGTTGTTTACTATTGTTATCATTTAATTAAGTCAAAATTCATTGTTACAGTATTTTACATCAGCGATTTTTGAAACATTGCTGCAAGCGCCACTGTTTGAAGGCGAATCGGCCAATATATTTACATAAAAAAATAACAATAATAACTACCAATAACCACAATCATCTTATGAAACAGTAGCTCCCACAATCCAACACCCAGAAATTTAGTCAATGGGCTTATTCAACTGTTTCACTTCGTTGAGTATTATTTTCATTCAATTGGTTTGTAAAATAGACTTCATTGACAACGAAAATTAACATAACCAGCATACGTTAATCAGCGTTAAGTTATGCACATGACCAAAAAAAAAACCTGATTTGTTGTTTAGCAACATTTGCGTAAATATAAATTAGATTAAATTTCAGAAAATAAAAATCACAATATTTACCCACATTGAAGTAAAAAAATAATTGTAGGCTAACAGAATTCAAAAACTGGATTACAAAATTTTTTTACTGCTACAATCCAAAGCAGCCTTGATTACGCAGTGTGTATCACGGTAACTATGCAGCCATTTGTTTTGTCGAGTATTTACCAGTTTTCTATTCGACTGGTCGTCTTCGTTATGTAGGATTTTACCAATGCGCAGGTGGGTGTGGTTTAACGAAGAACGACCAGTCGAATACGGCCATTATTGGGACTATTAGGTTTGAAATCGAATACAAAAAAGAGATTACAGGTATTTATATTTTTCAAGATATATTGTGATGAAATTTGTATGTATTGTAATATAAATTTTTGATAGTACTCATTCCTTTTTGTTTAAGACATTATTAGTAATTATTTTAATATCCATAATACCCAAATAGTTAGGTTAAATTATTAACAAGACAACTGACTTATTGGAGTTCCAACCTGGGTAATGATCAATTCTTAGAAATGTAAAACAACTTTAATAGAAAAATGTTTTATATAGTTTAACAGAAGTTTAATAGAAAACTATAAATGAGCTCAGAATTATTATAAATCACTTAAACAATGATATAACCTGTATAATAAGTTGCCTAATATGGAACCGATTACGCAGACTTTTTTAAAATAATTTTTTGCATGATTTTTTTTTTCACCATCGGCCAATGAATCCATCTTTCCTGTCTGAATTATGCTTCACTGTGCCTGCCTATAGTTGATGGCAGACCGAGAGATTGTCATTAAAAATGATCCACTGTACATGCCTTGTAGTGTTGCATTTTTCATGGAATCAAATTGGCCAACAAGCATTGCAATCTTATAATTTATCTACGAAAATAGCAGTAATATGTTGTAAAAGCAGTAGATCGAGAGCACAAGCAACAGTACCTGATGAGATAGCCTAATGGTGTAAAATGTAGTGAATGAAGTAGTTTGGCAGCAGATATAACAGTGTCTGTTATCATTCAGATGGCATAAACAGTGTTTGAGATTACAAAAGCACATTTTTAAAAATAAAAATAATTAATATAAAAAAGGAACTCATTGTATAACTGAGTTTATATAATACACTGATAATGTAAATTATAACTGACATGAAAAATAAATTCAAATGGATTTAAAATTCCATGAGATAAAAGTGTTAATCTGTTAATCTCAATTCTATTCGTCATTCTTCATTTATCTAATTCCCATTTGTATATTATCTTCTCTTGAGTCATTACTACCCAACCCTTATCGTTAAACGTCATGTTCGATAACAGTATTATTCATATAGCAGATGAAGTAAAGTGTTTTATTTACATAGTTAGTTACCATCAGTGTTAAAATTTCACGCAGCAAATCTCAACTTATAGTATGCTAAGCTGCTACATAACGTCCCCATGTGCACTGTACCTCCACTGCCACAGTTTATGATAGTTTTTTCAACTAGAGTATCAAAACCTAATAATTTCCAAATTGAAAGCCTAACAAAAATAAAATATTTATATTAGTTATCCTATGTAGGGTCAGGGATGGGAAACAGACCCGCAACCACTGCGAATTGCCGCAGCAACAAAAATGTTGAAAAGGCTATGTAAACTGTGGCTTAGCTATGCAAGCATTCTGCCCTATGGATAGCTTGTGCAGTGTTGCTTATTAACAAAGGGGTGCTGTAATATCAGCAACGTAGAACTATACATAAATAACTTTGTACCATATCTTGTCATTCCTTTCATTAAATCTCTATTCGTCTATTTTTTTGTACAGTAAATGTTCAAAAACATTTTTCACATTGTCTTGTGTATTGGTAGTTTTTTTTTTTATACAAATAAAATCGTTGAAAGTTTTATACAAATGGCGTTCTCATCATGATAACACAAAGCTGAAATTAATGCAGAGCTTTAAAATCCATTCATTCTGTGTGTTCCTTAAACCCAGCCACCCGTCAATTTATGGAATAACTCTTCGTTCAATGTTTGATTCTGGTCTTTGGATCTCATCGATAAGAATATATAGCCACCGATGAACTCGTGGACAACCTTACAATCGGCAGACTGGCTCTGAAAGTGGATATCTTCGTCTTCCGTTTGGATGGTCACTTCGCGTACTTCCCAGTTCACGTGCCAAGCAGTCATGGTACTATACCGCCAATTCTTCTGAGACTCTCCTGTGTTGATATCCATGCGAATTACACGATTATAAGCAATTCCAAGCAGGTCCTGAAAGGTTAAAAAGAAATTAAAAGGTCAAATATTACTTGTTTCCTACCCTTTTTGAACAATCTCGTTAAAAAAAAAGATACAAAAATCTTTAAAAGCAATAGCATTTGTCTATGCTTTCTGATAATCTGTGTGATGTTGATAGTGGTGCCAATCTGGGAGGCCTTGTTCTTGTTTTTTTCCTCAAAAAAGCAGGGAAAATATTGATATTTGGCTTGCCAAAATACTTGAGGCATTAGCATTATGCTTAATAGCAGAAACCACAAATAACAACAACAATAGCAGCACAAAACTTCAACACTTAACTATGAAAGTAATTTGACAGTGAAAATTTCATTAGTAAAAACATAAATCAATTCTAAACCAATTGGCCATGCATTCCTTTTAATAAACAAAACTAGTGATTTATTGACTTGCCTCTTTTTTAGAATTCCTAAACCGCACCACAAAATATGTTATGCCATATTCAGGCAACGCTTGCCATGCTTTGATGTAGTTCCATCTGGCATCCATCAGCGACATCTCCCTTACATTGGCATGTGCCTCGAGAATTCTTGTAGCAATCTGTTGGGAACCAATCAAGATATGGAACATTACTGATGGATGTGCATCACAAACAAAAGAGTTATTATGAAAACAAGGTCAAAGTTCAAATACACAGATAAGTATTTATAACAATATGGTTATATGAGGTTAACCTCAAGGTCAAGGCTTATGATTTATTAGTCAACTAACAGCACCACCCCCTGAACTGAGATTATAACTGTGAATGGATGTGAGAAATAGATAGATTTGTGAAATACCATGTAATTTGCTTGAAAAGAAAATATAATAGCATTCTAAATGGATTATAAACAGGAGATACAGGGAAGGGAAGGGTCAATGGTCAATAAAGGGTCATGGCATATGAACCATGGCTACTAACACCACCCTCTATACTACAATCACAGCTGTGTAGAGATGCAAGAAAGGGGAGGGGGGTGTACAGTTGAAATCCCTAAAGCTATGTCCACACTATCAAATTTGTGTGATATACCCATATATGGGCATGATGATGACATATTACACCCAAATATGGGCATATCACATTAATTTGGCACATAAAATATGATGGTGTGAACAAAGCCTTATAATTTGCTTGAAAGAGAAATATAATAAGATTCTGATCAGATTATAAGCAAAGGAAAGATGATAATGAAAAATGTATACAATAGTAAAACAGGATAAACAAGGGTAGGACTATAATTATGATGATAAAGAGATAAACTATGAAAAAGAACAATGCTGTAGCCAGCTATTTGGACATTTGGGACAGTCTCACACCATTTTCCTATTGGGTCCACAAAGAATGGGTCCACATTTCAACCAGAACCCTGCGGGCGTCAACGTTCCTATGCATGATGCATGTTTTATTTTCAGGCAATATGAGGTTGGGTGGATTTTGTGTTGTAGTGGTTTACCTTGAAAAGTGAATTCTTTGCATTTGAATATTGGGAAAATGAATACTATAAAAATGGGTCCACACTGATATTGTCCTACACTGTTTGAAAATCCTGGCTACGGCATTGATACAGAGAGTAACTAATGATGGATACTCCATAATAAAGACCCAGCATAATAAACTCATGTCAAATCAACCAAATGGACTGTTATGGTGTGTCAATCAAACTTAACAACTGACCAATCAAAAGAGGGCCAGGAACAGGCATGTGTCTCACAAACATATGTAGTCCCACAAACGTTTGATTCTGGTCTTTGAATCGCATTGATAAGAATAATAGGCGCAACCTAACAATCGGCGGACTGGCTCTGAAAGTCGATGTCTTGCATGTTTGCATTCTGTTATTACACTGTCATTTTGTGTGACCTTTTGTGTGACCATACCAACAATATCCAAGGTATGGAGCTTAGCAGGAATGTCCATCCAAACCCAGACCTAAAATAGGCTCCCAGCGAGAGCGTGTGTGTCTATGCCCTATACTGCCTTATTACTGTATTATGTTTACTAATAAAGTATCCACATGGGATTCGGTTATCAGGAAATGTGTGGCGTTATATTTATTTATGACTTTTGTACAGTAATAAGATACTTAAGATGACACATGACACATCATGCACCTCCACCGGATTTACCCCCTTTCAGCAACATAGCGTCTTCTCCCTCCTGCCTCTGAGGGTAATAGACACAACCAGTGTCAAACTGAGACACAAAACTTATGTGAAACCAAGGACCAAACCCATGTAAAACCAATGTGAAACTGAATGTCAAGGCCAGATCCTATCTCATGTTAAACTAAGAACACCAACCTGTTTTGGTTTCAGTTTCTTGAGAAATCTTGGAGCAATGTAGCTCTCAGGTTGGATATCAACAGCATCAGGGTTGATGGTTGGCGCATTCGACGGCTTATGCTGCTGCATCTTGAGGAAGGCTTGGATTCCTTGGACCTCTGTATCGTACGTACTATCTGCCATCGTCTTACCCTTCGATGCTAAGCGACATGCTGCCATCCAGCGTGCATACTGGTTTTCCTGGAGAAAGAAATATATAAAAATTATAACATGAAAAATCAATAGACTTTGGTTAAAAAGGGAAGGAGCAGAGAATAGTATTAATAAACAACACCAGCACCACCATCATCACTATTGCTGTTAACAGCTTCATCATCATTATTAACATATTGATTATATTGATCATCATTATCCTCACTAGCTTCATCATCAACGTTATCATATTGATACCGGTCATCATTACTATCATCCAGGACCAATATGTTACCGTATTAGTCCTGGTTTTCTTAATTAATTAATCTACACCAATTTTATCATATTAGACATCATCATCATCATTTGCTCCATCATCACCAATGTTATGAAATTGGACTTCTTACTTCTATCATCTCCATTATTTCAAATGCAATCTGAGAAAGTCCAAGTTCAGAATATCATGTGACTACTGCATGTCGATAACATTCATATAACGTTTCAGGGTATAGGTCACCATGGCAATGGGATTTGAATTGTCAGTCTAGTCTGAGAGGCATGTTCAAGTTGCACTCCAGACATTGCAATCATTAACTCAGAAACCTAACACCAATCGAATGTTTTCCAACTAAACTAAACTATAGAATATCAAATTGAATTTCATAATCCTTAAAGGGACAACTCAAATGGTTTTCAATAGTAAGTTTTAATGCCTCTGCCATAAAGTAAATACATTAAAAAAATACTGGTCTAATATTTGTAACATATTAATGTCACCTGTCTACTCTAGAATAATACACAACATAACAAAATTCTGTTAAAAATTTAATGATCTTGAAAATAACCTGGCAACCATTTTCCAATCTCAAATAAAATGTCAGTTTTTACCTAATATAGTAGATGTAGGTAGTCAGAGGGCAATTGTTACTAGGCAACCATAAATCTTAATTTGTACAACCACATAGTGGAAGTAAAGGTGAAGCCACATCATACCTAGTTTTTATGGCACTTCCTTCTAGTCCCTTCAAGGTACTACTCTAGTATGTTCACCTAGGATATTTTAGTAGTTTATTCAATTTTTTGTGACACAACAGCAAGTAACTATGTGGTGCAAAGTTACTCATTAAGACAATCAGATTTTGTCTGACATACACAAAACTGTTTGATCAAACAATTTCTGACCATAGATCTTTTATTGGTAGTACCAGAAAGAGAAGGAGGGAAGAAGCTGGGAGACTAAGGTGGGATGGGGGGTGTCTGGAGTGTAGGTAATGAGTGTATGGTAAAAAATAAAATGTTTTTTGTAGCCAACTAGGCTAGGCAGATGATAGCTATGATCCACTTATATAATGGGAATTAATAAGGAAATTACAAAAACAAAATTACAATATGTATATACATAATATATACATATTATATATAATATATACAATATGTATATATTATGTAATAATTATGAAAGAGATAGTAATTTGCATGCTAATGATAGACTGTTTACAATCTTATCAAATACGAAATCATACCACTGACTAAATAAGGAGATTCAAAAGTAAATTGCAAAGAAAGAATAGGTTTATTCTTTATACAGTAATGTCAGAGTAAAAACCTACAACAATCACGGTGTTAAAAATAATAAAATGTATGACACAGCATCTTCTTTTAGAAATTGTTTATCTTTTGGTAAGAGACAGTATTCATACCAGGAGCAGTGCTATAGGTATTAAGGCCGCCAGAACCAAGGTTGACAAACAAATGTTTCTAATGTTGGAAATTCAAAATAGTGGTAGAATGGGGCGTTTACTCTGGGAGCACTTGTTGGACAGGCCAAGCGCAAATGCATTCTCTTAAAAATTCCCAGAACTAGTACTTTCTCATTTTTAATTCATTGTAAAACATAATAGTTTATTTTTGTAGTTTTGTTGAAATCTGTATTTTGCAAATTCTTCGAATCTGTACTGGACAAATTCTTTGAATCTGTATTGGACAAATTCTTTGAATCTTATTGGACAGGCCGAGAACCATGCATCCTTTTTGGCCACAACTAATCGGACCAGAAAAAGGGGAAATTTCTTTTTTTTCCCAAATTCTTTTGGCCATAATATGTGCTAAAACTTACCAGAACTAGTACTTTCTCATTTGTAATTACTGTATTATTATGTATGTATTCATTGTAAAATATAATAGCTTGTTTTTGTAATTTTGTTGAAATATTCAGAATCAGAATTTCTTTTTATTATTTATACAAAGTCTTTGAATCTGTAATATTAAAAATATTAGCAATACCTTTCTATCTACAAAAGGTATGAAAGAGGAATTGCGATTATATCTCACTGAAAGTAAAAGGTAATACACACGTTCATTGAATATGACATACCTTTGCACAACTTTTAGATACAGTATAAATCATCCACATAGGATCAAATCTACAATCAAATTTAGTCTATAGATCCTAACTACTTTAAAAGGGCTACATTTCAAAACTGCTTAATTTAGATGAGAATTCATATGGAAGATTAATTAAAGCAATATTATATTTTGATTACACAACACACTAATATTGCCCACACATATTTTCCTGGTAATAAATGTTGATGACTTGAGTAATATACTTTTGAGAACTACATACCAAATATGGTCGTTTAGCTTTGGTTGTGTGGATGGGTTAAGCATCGTTTGAAATCAGCAATCTATGATTGTAAATGCAGGCTTCGTGATGAAATTCTAAACGAGTTTTAACTATGCCGTAAATCTAAGTTGATGGTTACTTTTTTTAAATATTATTTTAACAAATTTTGCGAGGGTACATTCTTATTCCCAAGAGCCAGCTTTGCTTCTACCCTCCATTCTGAAGGAGTACCAAAATAGTCCATTATTAATTTATATTTTTATTTATTAATATTTTGTCCTATAAATGTTTTGGTTTGATTGAAATTATATTTGCTTTTACAAATAGGTTAAGTGAAAAATTTGATAATTAAAAAAAGAGAAAACCCATAGGGAAAGGTGGACAGATAGCTCCTGTGGTGGACGATGAGAGTTGCTGGTACCGGGCTACTGGGTAGCACAGACACAAAGGGACCCTTAGGGGCGAAGAAAGTCCACATATCAAGCGTCCTGAGCATCTTACATTAGATAGATATGTGCGCTATATAAAACTACACTACTACTACACTGAGGAAATGACAGGAGAGATTTATAGAAATTACAGAAATTAGAATCGAAATTAGAAAAACAATAAAAGTCGAGGTAGATACTAAACAATAATAAGACTAAACAATAATAAGACTGGCGACACAGAGTATGTTAAGCTATTTACTTGTTACTTCTATAGCACTGCTCTTTTTTTAAGGTTTCAAAGTGCTGAAACTACCATCATCGAAGTGTAATATCTGGATATATTTTAGTAGAATTACAGGCAGTGGCATATCTATAAGTCTTGAAATGGGGGTGCTAATGGGAAGAGGGG